TAAGTATTTCGAATCCAATCTATATTACAATGAAAAATATGAGGTAGTAGGGTGTGGGTGTGGGTATGGGTGTGGGTATAATTTGAAATACATTCCCACATCCACACCCACACCCACACCCACACCCACACCCACCCACACCCACACCCATATCATACCATGAAAGACTCGGTATTAATCAGAGATGGGCAAGTCGAGTCCATTTTTGACTTGAGAATTTTCAAGATATGACTTGGACTTGACTTGTGTCGAAAAACCACTGACTTGCTCATCTCTGGTGTTAAACGTTCTTTGTAAAAATAAACAGGAAACGATAAAACGGCAAAAATAACCTGATTCGACTTGAATCGAGTCGGGAACACTAATGGTTCGATTTGACTCAACTCGACATCACTACGAAATGACTCGGAATCGACTCGACCTGAGAAATGGCTTGACTCGGACAACCCTGTACTGAATCCGAGCCTCTCGATATCGGTAGCAGTCTCGATACTTCCTTAAATTATGAATAAAACATTTGTGTTAGCTTTAATCTTATGTAAGGTAATATTTTGCTGGTATGTAATCTCGCTACTTCTGCACGCGTTTATATGATTTTTCGATTTCTTCCTCACCTATTTATTATTATTCATCATATATTACAAAAACATAGATCATATTAATTTAACATCGGTAGTTTAAAAAAATATGATAATGATGGTGCTATTTTCGATTTTGTTTTGCTGCTGCAGATGTTAGCAGACTACGAAAATAGTGTGTAGTAATACGAGAAATATTAATAAAAACAAAACATGAAGTCGTATTCTAATGCATTGTACTAAGTACATTCGTACTCTGTACTGATACTACAGTACAAGTAATTAAGTACAGTCATACTCAGTACCAGTACTAGAGTACAAGTTACTTAAGTACAAGTTCACTGTACAATGGTTAAGTAAAAAGTATTTGTACTTTTACTTAGCGTACTTGCACTGGTCCAATCATTGCTCGCTTTGTATAGGCTTTATCATGTGTTCCAACTAGCGTCGCTACTAGTGAAAGAAATTTTAGTGAAATTGAACGGACGTTCCAGTCTTAACGACATTGTTAAGTCCTGATTCATTAGATGCTCTTGTATTTCTTTGTAATTGTATGTGATCGTCATATAGATAATTTGATTTAATCCCGCTAAATAAAATAGTGAATGTATATCGTAAATTATGATTTCGAGTGCAGGTAGGAAGCGATACAGATAGGTTACAAGTAAAAAAATATGGGTATGGGTAACAAGGATACAGTATAGTACAGGTAAACAATTTTTGTATGCGTCGAGTACGCGTACGAAAAGTTGTACTCGTGCAGTACTCTATTCTTGTGCTTGTTTCTTGCTCTTCACATCAAGATTTTTTTCAGTGATTATTTCAGATTTTTCTTGTAATTCCCGAATAATATTTTGGGCTATTGTTTTATTTTCTTTACTGATTTTTTCTTGTAAATGTTGAATAATATCAGGACGCATAGATTTAATTGCTGCTGCAACCTCTTTATCACGTACCAATACCCATAAAAGATCTAATGAACGTGATCTGATGGTATTGGGATTTATAAATTTTCGTGGTAGATTGAAAGGATCAGGTTCATAATTGATTATTGTGCATCCTATTAATGTTTCTAAACCTTCAAGTCGAACGAATTCTTTTCGAGCTTCTTCATGTACAGCAAGAGCTAAAACGAAAATAAATCATATTTAATTGACGATGATGAATCATATTAGAAAAAGTCAATTCCCGTGATAAAGTTGAATGCAAGATTGATCAACTTTATTGCCAAGTCAGAAGATGAAAAAGCAAAGTTTGTTGCATAACAGTCACATATACTCATGCAAGAATTTCATATTAATCAAAGTATCTTCCAATGGTTGTTATCTCTCCGTTTTTCCGAGTTTGTTGGAAGGTCCATTTTTTGCGTTTGAACAATATTAATGTTAATTATATTTTGGTTTCTAATAAATTGATCTTTTCAATTGTAACTCTATTTCTGTCACTCAATAATTATCATGCATCTTATCAAGAAACATTGAACAAAACTTTTGTATGGGGTCAGACCTTCGAAACATTTAGTATATTGATCTACTTTGACACAAAGTTAATTTTATGCTGCAAAACTCAATGGTAATATATCATTTGCCTAATTTGATGACACCAATTCTGACAGAACTATTGATTAATGTTTGGGTAAACCTCTTTCATTCATTCAAGCACATGCTGCTAAGAATGTATATCCTCCTGGCCAAAATAAATGGTACACCTTATTTTTCCGATTATTTCACTCTACCATTATCGATTGACCCCATACAAAGATTTTGTTCAATGTTTCTTGATAAAATGCATGACAATGATTGAGTGACAATTGAAAACGAAGGGCTGTAGAATACTTACCAAGCAGAATTCAGAATTCTGTAGACTTGTCCATATTAGATAATGGATCAAGCGTAATTGAGACTACCACATAACTTTTTCATACATACCTACTGCTAGACAGAAACGATTCTATTAAAACAGAAGTCTATCAAGAACTAATAAAATACAGCAGAATTTTATCAAAATGTTGAGAACCCAAAAATACCATCCGAATTTTAACAGAATTCTATTTCCCACTGCAGAATTCAAACTTCTTCACACAACGAAATCAACGCATCTACTCTCCAGCCAACCAGAATTCTGCTGAGAATTGAAACACGCCAGCAGAATTTTGACACTATTCTATTTCCAATTACAGAATTCAGACGTCATCACACAACGAAGTAAACGCATCTACTCTGCCGGTAACCAGAATTCTCTGTTGAGAGCCCAAAAATAGCAGCCCAATTTTGACTGCATTCTATTTCGCACTATAGAATTCCAATTACATCGCACAGCGAAGTCAACAACACACTATCGGTGAATCAGGTCGCTGGAAAGATGTTTTAATTCACTTAGAACGAACTGAATTCCGCCAAAATTTGGCGGGAGTTTTTAAAGTCTCAGCAGAACTCTGGTACCTTCTCCGAAGATATCGTATAGCCTGACTTCTATCAGAAATCTGTTGAGAATCCAAAAATAGCAGTACAATTTTGACAGAATTCTTTTCTAGAGTGCAGAATTCAAACTTCATCAGACATTGCAGAATTCTATTCAGAATTCTATAACAACACCAGAATTCTGTATTGACATCCACACTCTATCTTACTGACAGCCAATAGTAAAACACATGAGTCTACAAAATTCTGAATTCTGCTGGGTAAGAATTCTGTAACTGCTGTTGAAAAGATGAATTTATTAGAAATCAAAATATATTTAACATTAATATTGTTCAAACGCAAAAAATGGGCTTTCCAACATACTAGGAAAAACGGAGAGATAAACAACCATTGGAAGATACTTTGATTATGTAATTTTATAGGTCTATAGTGTGATTTTTGTGTAAAAAAAATCAGGAACAAGAGCAATATGAATTTCAATCTTGTCAAAAAACTTTTCGATATATCGTTATTGTATTACATAAGTTCGATTAGATCAATTAGTTACATAAATCAAACAGACATCTTGGTTTGCTGAATCCGTTGCATATAAAAAAAGTGTCTGATCTTTTTTTTCAAAGGTCAGTTTTTCTGAAGATAATAGAAAGGATTGATTGTTAAAAATTTCGATAATATTTTAAGATACTGTTTAATCCTCAATTGCTTTGCGTTTCAAAACAAACAGAAAACAAGATTTAAAAAAGTTTACCTGTTAATCCAGTTAAAAAATTGAGAACATCATTACTAAAACGTTGTGTACCTCCATGTTCACTATAATTGATAAGAAAAGATGTTAATGATTCTGTTAATGATTTTATATTGAGTAAATTTTTAATTTCATCATCAGTTAAAATTTGAGATATAAGCGATGGAACGTTAAAAGCCCATATTGGAAAACAACGACCAATAAGATTTTCCTTCACTGTTTTATGATTTTTCAACATAATTAACAATTCTTTATTATCTTTTATCATTTCAAGTAAAACATGTGAAATGTCATTAATTAAATCTGATGCAGAGCCACAAGAACTTTCTGGATCAACTTGATTATATAAATCCATATTACAAATAATACTAATTAAACTTTGAATAATAATATCATCGTGGGATATAATTGATAGACAACTTTCATATAGACAAAAATTATTTAATACCACAATAACGTTAGACTATCAAAAATCAAAAAAACTTTAACTTAAAAGTTGAATTGGATATCTATAACTATTGTGCTTCTAATGTCCATTTCAGAGATAGGTGGCCGTGGGCATTTTTTGAATAACTTTTGACAGGAACAAGATAGAGACCTGTGGTTTTCACCGCTGGGGAGAGGAGATGAATACACATCGAACCATATATAGAAAGATTTTTTAACTACTTTTCTAAAGATTTTACACAAAACTTCAAGGAAAACAGCATGCCTCTCATGGTGGCGATATTAATTTATTGACTTTCAGGAGTGTGCTGGAACCGCCAAACAAAGAGCTACAAAACTATATCAAGGTTCTATTCCGAACTACTACCAGTAAGATATCTAAACCATCGGAGCACAATTTATCGCCTCATTTTTTCAACAAAATAACCGAAAAATGTAAGTTTTTGTAGTATTTTGACAGAAAAATCACTTTTTTAGCATAGGAGAAAAAAACAATTCTTTGAAAACATTTGACTAAAACCTTTAGGAAAGTAGTTAGAAAAATCTTTCTGTATATGATTCGATATGTCTTCATCTGCTCTTTCCAACGGTGAAAACCACAGGTCTCTATCTTGTTCCTATCAAAAGTTATTCAAAAAATACCCACGGTCATCTATCTCTGAAATGGACATTAGTTTCTTTATCCAATTGAGTAATACTTAGGAGCAAGATATAAACTCTTCGAAAATACTTACCTGTATTCTCGCAGTAATTCTTCCAGTCCATTCTTGAATTCGTTTGGCAGCATATTCTATGATTTGCTTTAATTTTTCAAATGATTTATCCATAAATTGCTGGCATACATCATCTCTATCTTTACCACAATAAAATCTAAAGTATTCTAAACAGCTTGACAACAGATCATATTTCATGTCTTGTTGATCTTGATTAAGAGTTTTTTTGTTGATACCTTTATCGTAATCAAGATCAAACAAAATTAAATTAGGTTCATAATTAATATAAATATAATTCATTATAGAATTTGTTAATAAAATTAGATGTGATTTGTCCATTGATTGATACTCGCAAAAAAATTCCATATTTCGAATTAAGTTTGAGAAATTGTGAATACTATTCATATTATTATTGAATAACAAAGAATCGTTCTCACTTATAGAAGAAAGGCATAGTTCAATTGGTTTTACAAATTTTTCGTCCAAAACAATTTTTTCTATTGTTTCTTTTTCACCAGCACCGCTCCAATATGTTAATTTACTAAATAATTGAACAATATTCTGAAAATATTCTGATTTAATTTCGTTCAAATTCTGTTCATTCTTCCATTGAACTAGTGTATCACTTAATTTATTACATATAACTACATATAATTCATGATCTAATAAGATTTTATTTGCTAATATCTTTCTAGATAATCGATGTAAACTTGTTATGATTGAAATCAAATATCTTGTACGTTGATCATCATCATGAACTTTATCGTTATCACCTACACTCTTATATTCATCAATGATCGAATCATAAATTTTTTTTAAGTCTTCAATATTAATTCTATCGTCTATTTCTTGTCCATATATTTCATCATCACCAAGTTTATTTTTGATTAAATCAACAAGTTTTTGTGCCATATTGACAATTTATTGTAGAAGAATGATGAGAAACCAGTATACTTTCTATAATAGATGAGAATACAAAGATGAAAATACTAGAGAATAGTGTTTATATATTGAAGCTTATCCATTGATACACGTCAGATACTCATACACTATTTACCTTTGGATCAATCTTTATAACATACAGTGGTCTATTTGAATTCTTTCTGAATTCAAAAATAAAAAAGTACTTCGCATTTATCTGAAATGGGAGTCCAGAGGGTCTTGGGAAGTCTTTAGAATTATTTATTATTATATACAGCTATACACCACTTTTTTTAGAGGGTGAGTTTAGGGTCTTGGGGTATTTTAGAATTATCTGCTATTATCTATGCCTATAGACCTCCTTTTTTCAAGAGGGTGGGTCTATCGGTGTATATAATAGTAGATAATTCTAAAGACCCCCCCCCCCCCCCCCCCCTCTATAAAAGAAGAGGGGAGAGGGCGAGGATAAGAGTGAGAGTTAGGGTGTGCTGATTTTTTTGTTCACTGTTAAAGCAAAGTTCTCTGTTGAAGGGTGGGGTACTAATGAGATGTAGGTGTTGATATAGGAAGAGTTGATGAGTGTGACTGTTACAGAATACTCTGCTTGCTTTTTTTAAAGACTCCCTATACCCAACGCTTCGCCGAAAAGTTTGTGTCTTTTTCTGGAATTCAGAAAAAATTAGAAAAGACCATAGAGTCCTTTATGAATACAAAAGAAAAAACGAAATTGTTCTCTATTACGTTTCTTAATAGAAAACAAACATCTTATGTGTGCCGTTTTCATAGATAAACACACCTAGATTGATCATGCAAAATCGATTATTTGTTTTTAGTCTTAAGAAACATGATGAGAATAGCTTCTCGTTTTGTTCTTTTTCGTATTTATAAAGATTGATCAAAAGGTAAATAGCGTGTGTGTGTCTGACACATATGGGAATGTTTCAAGAGAGTCCAACGAATTACACTCTAAAAAATTAAGACATATGAAATGTATAGACAAGACACTTCGAGCTAATTCTGATTGGTTGACATATCTCTCATTTAGACACTTCAAGTGTCAACGGATAACATTTTTTAGATACTGACGTGTCTTAATCTATCATAATTGGACCATTTGCACCAATGAAACGAACGTCTAGCATCTGTCTTTTTTAGACACTTCAGCTGATCTATGACCTACTAATTCTAGAAATAAATACACTTCTATATGAACAACATGTGTTAGGAAAAAAATTTTTTATTTTCATAAATTTCACTCCTTTTCGAATCTAACTCAGTATTTGAAGAAAAATTCAAAAGTTTTTTTTTATTTATTTATTGCCAAAATCTTGAGTTAAGTTTGAAAAGGAGTGAGATTTATGAAAATAAAAAACAATTTTATTGAAAATATTTTCCCCAACACTTGCTGTTCATATAGAAGTGTATTTATTTCCAGAATTAGTAGGTCATAGATCAGCTGAAGAGTCTGAAAAAACTAACGCTAGACAAGGTCGCAAATATAAATTAACAAGTTACATTTGGAAAACGAGACTTTCTTAAAAATTGATGTTAAAAATCGGACGAGTTTAAGGCCTAACCAGGGCTGCCAAATCCAAATTTCAAAAACCAGGAGTTTTTTGCGAAAAATCAGGAGTTTACCAGGGGATTTCTACTGAAAAATCAGGAGATGTTTATTGAAATCATAAAATGAGTTAGTGGTCTTCTCTCAAAGAAAACTGAAGTTTTCGTTCATCTAATCACTCGTTATGTTCTTCTACTAAGTTACTGATGACAAAATTTCCTCTAACGAGGGAACATTCCCAAGCGTCACGCTGCTTTTGAGTCGAGCGTATGTGCATCATGTAGGTCTTAATGCTCTATGAATACTCTGAAAAAAGTTCGTGCCGCTTGCTTATTACTGCCGAAATATTGCATTTTTACTGTATGTTTAAGAAAAAAAGCCGTGTCCTCCTCTGGAACATTAGAAAAGCTATGTTTCGAATTTCGACTTGAGACTTTGCATAGAGATAGATCTCAGTGAGAATAGTTTATTATGAAAGTTTCAGATCCTTTCGTTGCTCCTATCCTAAGATACAGCTAAGATAAAATAGCTTATATACACCAGCAGATTCCGGTGTTCTTTTTTTCAGACTAGGAGCAATCAAAAGATCTGAAACTTTCACAATAAACTATTCTCATTGAGACCTGCCCGTGTACAACGTTTTAAGTTGAAATTCGAAACTTAGTTTTCCTAGTGTTTCTGAGGGGGACCACGGCTTTTTGCTTATACATACAGTAAAAATGCAATATCTCGGCAGTAATAGGCTAGCGGCACGAACTTTTTTCAGAGTATTCATAGATCATTAGGGTCTACATGATGCGCATACGCTCGACTCAAAAACGATATGACACTTGGGAATGTTGCCTCGTAAGTGATGTATATTTTTAAAAAAACATAATTATGTGGAATTTATTTTACTACTCATTTCATAGTGGTTTATCAAAATATACCGGCAAAATAGAAAATGAAGTTTAATTAGACATCAATATGTAACTAAACAAAATGGGCATACATGAACAATAATTTATCAACTATATCGTTCATGTCACTTTTGTAACATGACTATGAACGGAGGGGTCACAAGTCCTGAGTATGCTTGAGCCTACTCTAGGTTGGACAGCTAAAGGCTTAGGTAGGCTCGTGGATGGAATAAATGAAGGCTTAGATAGCGTCTATTCGTAGGTAATGGAATCACACGGCTTGAGTAGACTAAAGCCTATCTTAGATTCAGATTCCATAGACTATAGTACGCTCCAATAATTGTTTTCTACTACGTCAAATTGATAGGTTTGTGCAGTACATAAAAAATTTGTACAGACGCCAAGATTTTTTTGTCGCTATCGGCAACAAATAGTAACATTTATTGAAACAGACCTAGAAACTGTTTTTGAGAAAATTTTTAGTTTTGTGTGGATAAATGTCAAATCTTGGGTCAGCCATAATTTAAAGTGAGGTTCTTTCGTTAAAAGTGACGAAGTACTGCATAAAAACCTGAATCATATAAGCTAGTAGCTGCCAAAGACTTTCATCATTTTCAACGACTAAGTTTACATTACCCGATCATTAGTGTTATGAGAGCAACTTTTCTCGATTATTCTTTCTGTTCTCAGAAAAAATTTGTTGTTCTCGCCCGTATATTCTCTTTCTCGGAAAAAATTTGTTGTTCTCGCCCGTATATTCTCTGTCTCGGAAAAAATTTGTTATTCTTGTTCTTACGCTGTCTTTCTCGGAAAAAAATTGTTATTCTTGTTCTTACACTCTTGTTTCCAGAAAAAGATTTATTTCCACTTCCGTAAGCAGGGTGCTAATAATTTTTGTTCTAATTCGACGCTTGCTCCACTAAAGAAGAAAATGTTAAGACGCGTCACTGTCTATTGTACTCATATGTCTAAAAGTACGACGCATTTCGCGTCTTTACTCGACGTTAGACAGATGAATTGTCTTGTAAGACACAAGGCATTTTTTACAGTGTAAGGGAAAACATGGACGCCATTATAGAGGCACGAGAAATCCATTAATGCGGAAATCCGATTGATTATTAATCTTTCAAATAGAAATTGTTGTATTCACAGATAATTCACATTAAATTAGTCAAGGTATCACTGTTTGACAAGAACATATGATCTGTGGTCTGCTGTAATGGACTGGTGTAGTGTCAGACGTTTGTTTATGAGATACACTTGCCATATATACACCAAGCTGGAAAGAAGATTGAAATTTAGTTGAAGTTCAAAAGCACTAATTAAGAGATACACCAAATTATTTTGGGTTTAATTACTAAAATCAATATAGATGTCGCTAGATTTTGAGTGACTGCTATAGTGATCCACTATAGCATCCTCACATTTAATGACAATAATTAGTACCGTATTAACCCTTTCGAGGCGATGAGTCCCACCGGTGGGACCCACTATAGAGCGGCCCAAAAGCTTATTTATTGCAGAAAAAATTGAATATCTCTGCTATACTTTGACCAAAGGGACTGATTCTTTTACCGCTGATAAAGGAATGCTCATAGCTCATATTGATAAGAGAAACGTTGATAAAAGTTGTTTTGATGTACTACAGCTGCTACAAATAAAGAAATGAAACCTTTCACGAATTATGAAAAAGCAATCTTCATGTCGCCGCGAATGGGTTAATTGCATTAATTGATTCTATATCAATTTATTTTGATACAATACAAAATCATATTGAATTAACATGTCAATTTTCAACAGGTGATATACGTGATTTATTACGTTTTATAATATTTATATCAGAAATTATTTATATAAATTTATTTAAAAAAAAATGATTTCTTAGTTGGAATTTAATTGAAACTTTTTTTCGTTGTTTAACAAAAACAATACATAATCCAACATCAATTATATATCAATTACTTAGTGGAACAGATCAAATAATATCCTGTTGTACATTATCAAAAACTATATTATCAATATTTGAATATCTTTATCAACGATATAGTTTAATTGTAACAAATAAACAAACAAATCAATTATTACAATCATATTTAAATTTAATTGGATCAGATAATAGACCATTTATACAATTATTACTTACATTATTTAATGATCTTGATCGTCTTTATTATTTAACAAAAAAAAAATAAATATATACCATATTTTTATCGATATGATTTACGTCGTATAGCTATATTATTATTTCGTTTACCAATATTTAATTCATTTATACGTATACCAAGACAATTTTGGGAACAACATTATCAACATATAAATAAATTACAATTTGGTTTAAATGATTATTGTTTATCATCATTTCCTGTTGATTTATTACAACATTCGGATATAATGGCTGATTATATTGAACGTATATCATTTGTTGGTTGGTTATCAAGAACACAATTTCAAGAAATATGGGTTTCATTTTTAGCTTCAATTAATCCTCCAAATCAATCTAATGATGAAAATGAACAAACAACAAATAATTTAACAAAAGAAGAAATTTTAGAAACAAATGCAACACAATGGTAAAAAGATTCTACAAAAAAAAAAAACTAGATTTTATCTGTTCTCGTTTTTTTTTCTCTGCATAGTGTATGGATTCGTGGTGTAACAACATTTTTATTAAATGCACTTCGATTGAATTGTACAGGAAATCCAGCTGATATGACATTTGAACATCGATGTCGAAATAAATCTATTCCATTTTTATTAACTAATATAGGTGGTCAATATATGCAAACACGTTCAACATTAGATACAAGTTCAAGTAATTTATTTAAAAATATGGAACGATTAGGTACACGTGATTTAGTATCTTATGAACAACTTTCATATGATACTATATTAACATCAATTCAAAGTAATAATACATTACCATTGCCAGTTAATGTAAGTTTCAAATCTGTTTTAATAATTGAGACGTAGAACTTGTATTTTTGTCAATATTGAATATTAACCATAAATGTAAAAAAATATCGAAACAATAGGTGTGTTCCATCAGAAAACTATCTTGAGAATGGCTGAACATTTTGAGTTGTCCTCTGATTTATAAGGGTTTCTCGACATGCTCTTTCTTTTTGTCTCGAAAAAGTTTTCTCCAAAATCCTCAGAAGTTGGGTTTCTAGAAAACCATGTTTTGATGTTTTGATATTTGGATATTTTTCATTCTAAATTGATAGAGCAGACAGTTCTCTACAAAATGAGATATCTCCGAGCTCTCTACGCTGTTTTTTGACTAAACTACATCAAATTTACGGAAGGGTCAAAAGTAATTTTTGCCATTGCCTGTGGGAAAAACCGAAAAAAGGACTTTTGGGCCTTCCATAAATTTGATATAGTTTAATCAAAAAACATCGTAGAGAGCTTGGAGACATCTCATTTTGTAGAGAATTGTCTGTTCTATCAATTCAGAATGCAAAATATTCAAATATCAAAACATCAAAACACGATTTTCTAGAAATCCAATTTCCGAGGGTTTTGGAGAAAATTTTCTAGAGACAAAAAGAAAGAGCATATCGAGAAACCCTTATAAACCAGAGAACAACTCAAAATGTTCACTCATTCTTAGGATAACCTAGACCAAATTTCTAGTGGAACACGCCTATTTTAAACTTTATTATACAGAAGTCAAGGTTGAAGGAAAGACAAATTCTTTGCAAAATTATTGATTTCATTGAACGAAAAATCTATTATTTCTCTAACTTTAATTTATTTGAAATATAATACATGCAAACTATCCTATTTCATATACATAAAAGATTATATCAATAATTTCAACTGAATTCTAATTATTTGTTGTATTCTATAAATAAATTGTAAAACATGAGAAATAATTTTTATCAATCAGAAAATTAGAGTGTGAATGTTTGCTTCGCTGACAACCATGTTTAATTCAAAAATAATATATATATATATATATATATATATATATTATTTTAGAGTTTATTCGATCGTTTATTTTCTCGTCATGGTCTTGATTTAACATCATCATTACAAATTCTAATTGAACTTTATGTTCGTTGGTTAACAACAAATTCAAATAATTTATGTCTTCAATTAAAATATGAATTAATACGTTCATTTATATATCTTTCTGATTTATTTACATCATGACAACAATTATCTAATTTATATGATTTATGTGATGAATATTTTCGTACATGGTTTGATGAAGATGATTTAATGATATCATTAATAAGTTACGGTTTATGTAAATCTGGTATATTACTTGGACAAACAACAAAAGAATATAATGAATTTTATATACGTTTAATTGAACGAAATTTTAAATTAATAACTAAAACTCATGCATATGCATCATGTTTATTTTTACTTGAAAGTCATGAAGATGATTTAAATAAATTATTATTACCAATAATAATACAAGAAATAAATAATGATATACAAAATAATACATTAAAATATAATTTAGATATACATTTAAATGGTTTTATTTTATTAAATTTATTTTATTTAATTGAAAATAATTATTTAAATTCATATGATATTTTATTATCATTAATTAAAGATGATATATTAGATATAAATGATAATTTAACACAAAAAATTATATCAATTGGTCATGAAAGACTTTTAATACTTGGTCAATATCCTAAAAATGATATATGGCGTTTATAGAAACGTTCAATAACAACAATACGTCAATCATCATGGTTAAATATTGATCATCTTGTTTTAATACTTGCACGTATTTATACCTTATTACAACGACCAAATGAAAACATAAATTCATTAAATAATGAACATGTTAATGAAGAATAAGAAATGATTGATAGTTCATCAATAATATCATCATCAGATAATATTCTTATTGAACTTGTTGGAGAATTATATGAACGTACTAAACAATCATCAACATTACCCTATGAAGCTTTACTTCTACTACGACCATTACCATTATTACTTGCACATATTGATTTATCGGATCGTTTAATGAATAAAATGGTTTTAGAATTTGCTGCATCAACACAACAATTATATCCTCAAATACTTGCTTATACAGTTTTTGCTGTTTTTCATGCTTTAATTAATGCACATTATTCAGCTAAAGTTAATGAATGGACTTTATTATCTATGACAAGTATTGCACAAAGAAAACCAATACGTATGGCTATATGGGGATTAACTTGTCTTATGTTAAGTCCATGTCCATCACAAGGTGTGGAGTGGGTGTGGGTGTAGGTTGAGTGTGCGTATGGGTGATTGTGGATGTGGGTGTGCGCGTGGGATGTGGGTGTAGGTTGGATGTGGGTGTGAGCGGGTGTCGGTGTAGGTAAGGGTGGGTGTGGGTGTGGGTGTCTGAGTGTAGGTACGTGGGTTAGGGCGTCGATCAGGACACGCAAAACGTCCAGACTGGCACGAATACCCATACCCACATCCACACAGAGTGTGGGTGTGGGCGTTGATGTAGATGAGAATGTGGGAATGGAGACGTTTGGTGTGCCTAGGTGAATGAATCCGACAACGAGTCTGATCGGATCCGACCTATCGACAAAATTCTATGGGAACGTTGGACACGGAAGCACTCACAGATCCGACAGGTGAAATGTATTTAATCAATGAAGTACTAATTACTATTTGGTGTCGACAGTAGAGGCCAGCCGGAGTGATGTGTTGAATTCCGTTCAATTTCGGCGGTAGAATCCCATGGGATTCCAACGCTAGGGACCCGAATACCATTCTGAATCGCGGATTCCGATGCGATTTTGTCTGTTTTATAGAAATTCATATCAAACCCGATCGGATCCGAGTCAATCCTGCTGTCGGTTTGAATCTCCTGGGTGGATGGGTGTGGATTTAGGTTAGGGTTTGTCGGGATGGGAGCGAGTGGGTGTGAACGACTAGGTTGGGCGGATCTGGATCTTTTTTTAGAAGACATGCCCATACCCACACACTACATACTCACATCCACATCCTGACTGGCGACCAGAAACTTTTCCACTATTATTCTTACTCACACCCACAGTTTAGGATTGTGTCCGTATCCTATGTATACATGATCTCATTAAATTCGCAGGTTTATTGTAGAGATTGTCGTTGCTTATCTCTCTAATAACTGAAATTGATGAATAGAGTAAGAGAAGAGACAAATAAATCATGTTAGACATAGATCACATCAGAGAATTGAGATGAATGAAAAGATCAAACAAATATGAGACAGCTGTGAAATAATAAATAAAAGGGATCGGTAAGTGATCTACATTGATAAATCGATCGGCTTAACTAAAGTCGATCATGGTTGTCAATGTCATATCGGTATCAATCGTTTTCAATATTCGCAGCGTCTTGACATTAAGTATCTAGCATTCAAAATAGTCTCTGTTGCGTTTCGAATCTTTCTAATGATTTACTCACCACAGTAAAGTTATTGAAGCAGAAGAGTACTAAATAATATCAGTTGTATGCTGTTGTTGTTGATTGGAATTTTTTTGCGACTTACACCGTTTGCTTGTTTTTTTTTCTTCAAATGATTTGTTTCTTACTTTTGCAGCATGGCAACGCTTTCTGCTCCGTTTTTGTTTGCTTTGCCTCCCTTTTTTTCGTTTTCTTTTTAAATTATTTTCAAATGTACACTCTATTGAGAAGGACTGTACATAGCAACAGTAAAACATTCAAAGGAAGAGTGGACGAAGAACGATGAGAAAGAAGAAAAAAAACTCATACTTATTCAATGAAATTCACTTTCAAATGGACTACACGGATCGATAGTCATTTCTATATATGAGGTGGTTGAAATCGTTCAAAATTAGGCAAGGATTAGCAAAGAGACATTTCATTACATATTATTGATAGTTAACCGAGTACGACTGTTCTAAAAAAATGCTCTTTCATTTTGTTTGATGTTGAAATAAATAAAACTCACATTACCATGAACATAAGAAAAATTTTTTATCATATAATAATTTTAGAAGATTTGACATTTTATCGTGTTTCTCAATAATAAAGAAGTAAAAGAAAAGCATTCAATTTTTTCATTTCAACTTGGACTTCAAAAAATTTTTCGTTTCAAAAGCAATATTTCGAAAAAATTGTTTTATTTGCTATCTCATTCTGATGACCAAAACAAGTCTTTTAAAATCGATGGATAGATATGAAATCTTGTTGAATGGATTTTGTCGTCTAACGAAGAATCAGAAAGATATATGATACACATGGCAATGTAGATATATATTCTGAGGTTTTCTTTTAATAATTTCTCATAATCAATAGACGCTAATCGATACAGATGAAATCTCCAACGATTTTTTCATAAGCCAATCGGATACACATAGAAATAGGCCAAAGTAAGTCAAAAAATTATTTGATTGAACAGAAAATCGGACATTATCAGAGTGTGGCGATAGCTTTACTTAAATATGCATATCTTAAGATCTATTTAAAAACAAAATATCGATAAGAATTTAATGTCATTAGAAAAATCAGTATATAATATCAGCATTTTAGACTTGATACAACTTGTTTTTTTTTGTCAATCTGTTTGTGATATCAAGCAAATAAACAGAGATTGAATGATATAGAAGTTTTATTGTCTTTCAACTACAGATTATGTCAATATTAATTATCTATATCTTAATAAGAATGTAAATTATGAAGTGCAAATAAAAAATATCTATCTTCATTATTTGAAATAATCAACATTAAAATGCGATCGTAAAAAAAACTAACATTTTCTTTTTCGCTCTGTTTATTTTTGATTTCTTCTCAACATTAAATACCAATAGAATATGTTTTATATAGAGATACATTTCTTCATTGATCTTCTATGAATAATTTCAAAATTATATGAGTATACAAAATAAAATTTATTTATTGTGTCTTTCTGTTCACTATCCAATAATAAATGACGATGATAAAGCATAGAGAATATTTTTAATAGAACACAACTGATAAATACAAATGAACATATTTCTCGAATGAATATCTGAAATGCTCAGATACGAATAAGCAAAGGAATAATTCTTTTTTTTTTATAAAGTTATTTCTATAATACAAAATTCAAGTAATTCTTCTGTTGTTAACAAAAATCATTTTGCATTATGCATTTTTTTTTCAAGTAATAACTAAGTTTTATTTGATATTAAAGATATAGTCACATAAATGCACACGCCGTTCTTTTTCTTCCTGCTCACATCTGTGAAAACAAAGAGAATTGGTACAGACCAGTTCCAATTCTGAGTAAAGGTATATAGATTTATCTATATACAGTTATGCTACCAGAAATTTAAATGTTGGCTATGTATGCGTATGGATGGTGTAGTAATTTATAAAGAAGAGAACTCTAAGCTGTATGGGTTATTATAAAGGATTCTTGTCTTGTGAGGAAGGTTGATAAATTTGTAGACATTGTTTTGAATTCTCTTCCAGATTAATGAGATGTTTC